GACATTTTTTAGCTCTGTTTGTGTAAGGGCAGAACAGCACCATCTAGAGGCCTGGCATATGTACTACAGCGTCTCCAGCGCTTTCGAACGGCAATGGCCGTGGCTGTCTCCTCCTGATTGGTGGAGTTGGCCCAATAGCCGTAGCGCCACCGTCCTGACGTCAGGACAGTGTTCAAATCTGGATCAGTTTTTATCAGATCCGTTGCAGCCCCTTTTTTAGAGATTTGGGTATGGAGGAAAATAGAGAGGGTTGTGTTTTCTGACACTTGGTGAGTTCCCTGGAACACCGGGGACACATATTCATGTAGAAAAGACGTACAAAAGTGCATTTTGCATGATAGGTCCCCTTTAAGTAAAAGTAGTAATACTAGAGTGTAAACATAGTCCTGCATTTTAATGTTTTTCTATTAAAAATATTTATATAAACAAAATAAGTTCAAGTAAGAATGTTGAATAAAAAGATCAAATCAAAAAGATTACACAAACAAGTAAAGGGGAAAATGTGCAATACAAAAAATAATAAAAATACTTATATTAACAAAAGAAGTGATTGAAAATCTTCAAAAACTATTAAATCAAATATACATATTTATATGAACATAAGAAGTTAAAGTGAAAAATGTGCACTAAAAATGTAAAATACAAAAATATATATCAAGTAACATTTAAAAAGGGAAATTAAAAGATTAGTCAAAATGAAAATACTAAAAACAATATATAAACAAGAAGTGAAAGTTAAAATGCCGATTAAAAATATATATACAATTATAAATATTAATGCAAACAAAGTAGTGTAGTAACATTCACATTGTACTGCAATATGTATTATAAGTTATAAACTTCACACAGTGTTGAATATCTGATTTCCATGTCTGCGGTTGTTTACCTCCTCTGGCCGGTTCAGCTCCCTCTCACTGTGAAGGGTCTCAGTGTGACGGGGTCTGCCTCGGGGATCGAACCATGGCCTGTTGAGCCAGCTCCCTCAGGGTGGTCGGTTTGAGTCCCTGCCCAGACACACAGCCCAGCAGCCAGAAACTGGAGGGACTCAGTATGCATGTGAGCACACATCGCTCTGCAGAACCATGTCTGCAGAACCACGCTGTGTCCAAACAGCCCACTGGGTTAGGGACAGTGGCTTCGTTTGGAATAAAATATAATACAATATGCATATAAATATAGGAAGTGGAAGTAAGAAGGTGCGATAAAAACATAAAATACAATATTTATTAGACGGTGTAGTTCAATACTCAATGCTGATTGGTCGATTTTGGACATCCTGCGTTCTGCTCTTTTAGGCAAGCAGACAGTTACTTAAAGTGGACCTATCATGCTATATTTGAATAATATAGTGTAGGACCATACCTATATAAGGCATATTTATACTTTTTTTTTTCAAAATACCAAACAGATCATGCATTTTAGCCATGCCTCATTTTGCTCAATTTGACAATTTCTAGCTCTGTTTTTGCAAGGGCTGATTCAGTGAGAACAGCACCATCTACAGGCCTGGTATATGTACTACAGCGTCTCCAGCGCTTTTGAACGGCAATGGCCGTGGCTGTCTCCTCCTGATTGGTGGAGTTGGCCCAATAGCCGTAGCGCCACCGTCCTGACGTCAGGACAGTGTTCAAATCTGGATCAGTTTTTATCAGATCCGTTGCAGCCCCCTTTTTTAGAGATTTGGGTATGGAGGAAAATAGAGAGGGTTGTGTTTTCTGACACTTGGTGAGTTCCCTGGAACACCGGGGACACATATTCATGTAGAAAAGACGTACACAAGTGCATTTTGCATGATAGGTCCCCTTTAAGATATAAAACCGTTGCTTAGGATATCAGAACGTTGCTTAGGATATCAGACCGTTGCTAAGGATATCAGAATGTTGCTAAAGATATTAGACCATTGCTAAAAATATCAGACCATAGCTAAGGATGTCAGACTGTTGCTAAGGATATTGGGCCGTTGCTAAGGACATCAGACTGTTGCTAAAGACATCAGACCGTTGCTAAGGATATCAGACGGTTGCTAAGAATATCAGACTGTTGCTAAGGATATCAGACTGTTGCTAAGGATGTCAGACTGTTGCTAAAGATATCGGGCCGTTGCTAAGGATATCATACCGTTGCTAAGGATATCAGGCCGTTGCTAAGGATGTCAGACTGTTGCTAAAGATATCGGGCCGTTGCTAAGGATATCAGACTGTTGCTAAAGACATCAGACTGTTGCTAAAGACATCAGACTGTTGCTAAAGACATCAGACCGTTGCTAAGGATATCAGACGGTTGCTAAGAATATCAGACTGTTGCTAAGGATATCAGACTGTTGCTAAGGATATCAGACTGTTGCTAAAGATATCAGACTGTTGCTAAAGATATCAGACCGTTGCTAAAGATATCAGAATGTTGCTAAGGATATCAGACTGTTGCTAAGGATATGAGACTGTTGCTAAAGATATCAGACTGTTGCTAAGGATATCAGACCATTGCTGCATCACAACACACGATTAAAATATACAATATATAATAGCACAAATGGGCATGTTGCAGCCATACCACAAATTAAATGACAATATGTACACATTTACACACAAAAAAGACAACAAACAGCCATAGCAACACAGTTTAAAACAGTATAGGCAGAAATGGGTTTAATGCATTTCAATTGAGCACAGTAAATCCCTACATATACCAACGTGAATGGACTATTTGTGCAACTAAATGAAATGCAAGAGCACAGCAAAGACTAATAAACATTTACAGTAATAGTAGTAACAGTTTTTATTTCGAGTAGTTTTTGTTGGCTGGATCTAAAAGAAAAAGGTACTGCCTCGACTAAGTAATTAAAATACTGCGATGATAGCGGCACACAGGCAGTTGGTCAATATGTTCATAATTAGGCTCTTACTTACTGTTAGCCTGTCCTAATTACATTTTTACAACCTATCTTCAAAAGTGAAGTGTAGCAGCCTCTGCACCACCTGCTACTCTTTGATTATGAAACTAATTTACCTCCTGCGCCTTCCCAGCACAGAGAGGAGCCTATGATGTTCTTTAAGGTGAAACAATCCTCCACTCCTGATGCATTGTGGGAGCTCAGTGTGTGTATATCACTCCCAGTTTAGCTCCAGTAACTCAACATAAGCAAGTATTGTTTTTGGCGTAAGGAGAGAAGTAGTTGCTTGCTTTATAGGGACAGAGTTTGTGACTTTGGGGGCGACGTAATTAAACTTGACTTGTTTCAACTGCAGGGTGAAGTGATGCAAATAGGACTTAAACTCCTCACACACCCACACACCCACACACACACACACACACACCCACACACACACACACACACACACTCACACACATATGCACAGCCTCCTTCTCTACTTTACATACACACTTTGATCGGCTGAAGGACAATTTGCTGCAGAAACACTTCGCGCTGCCAGATATGCAGCACACTGAGCCGAGGTATGAGAACTGCAGTGTGTCTCTCTGCTTTAATGAAGGTTTAAAGTGAACTTTGACGTTGCTTTTTTAAATATCGCCTGCCATCCGCTGCGCAGTAAAGCTTTTAAAGGGAAACTCGGAGACAAAGCTGGCAGGGACATTTGTTCCCAAATGTTATTCATTCAAGAAACGTTGCCAGCAAACAGCCCGAGTCCAAAAGCATTTCTCCTGTTCGCACGTTCCACTATCAGCGAGGTTCAGTCTATCTTCTACGTGCTCCGCCTCTCATTAAACTTCACCGTTGCCAAACCCTAAAGAGCAACGGTCCAATCAAGTGTTCACATGCCATCAGTTTGGAGCAACATTGCTGGTTTCCCTCCAGTGTGGCTGATGAGTAAAATCTGCTCCATCTGAACAGACGATCCAATGGCCTCTGGCTGTTTGGTCCTCAGATAGATCCCAAATCAGTGTTTTAAGATGTCCTCTTTGTCTCTTTATTCAACATGGGGTTGGATTTAATTACTGAGGGAGGCGTGTGGTGCAGTGGGTTGTGCGTTGGTGTTTCGGATCAAGTTCAAACCCCACTGCAGTCAGCATGTCGTTGTGTCCCTGAGACACTTCACCCCAAATTGCTCCTGTGGGGATTGTCCACAGTATTGAGTATGTAAGTCACTTTGAATAAAAGCGTCTAACAAGTGACATGTAATGTAATTAAACTATCCCTCTTTTTATTTTCTCAAACATTGTGCCAACATTTTGCAGCAGAAATGTTAAGGTAATGCCTTTTGTGGTCATGTTAGCAACGCAAATGGCCCCAGAGATGGGAATATTGGTCTGTTGGTCGCCGACGTTGGACAAAATTGGTATTTCCCAACAAATATTGGACGGATTGCCAGGAAGTTTAATACAGACGTTCGTGAACCCCAGTGGAGGAACCCCACTGAATTTGGTGGTCGCCTGACTTTTCCTCTGCCGTTGTCATGAGGTTGAAATTGTTCAAATCTGTACGGTTGGTCCACCACTTGGAAAGTAAATATCTCAACACCTTTTGGATCAATTGCAGTAAAAAAATGTTTAAAGATATTCTTGATCCGCAGAGGATGAATCCTACTGACTTTGGTGACTTTTCCTCTGGAGCCACCATGAGGTTGAGATTGTTGTTTACTTGTGAAATAATGAGGTAAAAACGTGTATTAATGACCAAATTACTGGGTAAATAATTCCCATTCCCATCAGCCTCAGTTGTATGGGTGTAGAGCTAATTGCATTGTGGGATGGTTACCAGAAAGTTGTGTAAATGCCAAAGACTAGTTTCACAAAGAGACACATAAAATGACAGATTGTCAATATATTTCACTATATTCTAAATAAAAGTTGTTTCACATCTTCTTCGTCTAAGAAAGCTCGACAAGTCTCTGAGAACTTGAGTTTGAACCAGTTTGCTTTCATTTGGACCCTTGATTCTTCAAACACATCATCAGAATTCGTCTACAGGAGTTTATAAATCTTTCACGGTTAAATAATTGACAGAAAGAACTCATCATGTCTTCATTTCCTGTGTGTTTCAGTGGTTTGGTGACCTGGTGACTCCGGTGTGGTGGGAGGACGTCTGGCTGAAGGAAGGCTTCGCTCATTACTTCGAGTACGTCGGCACAGACTTCCTCTTCCCAAAGTGGAACATGGTGAGTGGAACATATTTTATTCATATATAACAAGGTTCTCACACACTTATTTTGTTCCAAACAAGCACATTCCTGTTGGCTTTCAGCCCCTCCAATGCACCTTATTATTATTAAGTTTATTTATTTGTATCGGATCTTTTATTCAAGACAAATTGAGTTTCAGTTCAGCGTGTCGAGGTGCATCAGATATGCTGAAGTTGTCGCTCATGAAATTTAATTTTTCTGACTTCTGATGGCTGCAGGTGAGACATCATTTCATCTCAAGGCTGCAGACGGTCAGACATGAATTTATTCTAAGAGTAAAACATTTAAAAGTCTCCAGACGCCAAACACAACACCGGTAGAAAAGCAGCGAATCTGATTTAACAAGTACATTTTTGGCCCGTGATATTTCCTCTGAGATAAACCCAGACGAGGGGATATTACATTCAACATGTTCTCAAGGAGAGCGTCTCTGCGGACAGGAGTTATTGTGTTTGGGTGGAAAATAATCCCCAAATGGAAAGTGTTGACAGAGAGGTCTGAGGATTATCCGGAGGAACTGGGACACTTTTTGTGGACGCTGTGAGAAACTTAAACAAAACCCCATTGTTCTCGGGGTGGCGACGGAATAAAACTGAGCGTGTCTGCTTTGTTAGATACCACCGCAGGGGAGAGAATATATGTTTTCCTGACCCTTTTTAAAAACAAATATATTCAATGTTTTTCTTTCTGTCAACAAATCCCATGAAAACACCAGCAATGTGTTCTGTCTCTCAAAAGTGACTTCCTGTCTCACTCTTTAAAGCTCCTTGGCTGGTGATCTTAATCTTTAAAGGGGCCCTATTCTACTTTTTAGGGTTTTCCCTCTACTGTAGTGTGTTCTATAGGTTTTAGTGCATGTAAATGGTCTGCTAAGGCTCAAATCCCAAAGTTCTGGAACATGGTGTAGAATATGAATGTCCTTTTAAGTATTGTTAGTAAAAGTAACCGTAGCAAAAAAAAAGTAATTATAAGGTAAACCAGCAAATTATCCCATTTAAGAAGCTATGAGATGTTTTAAGACCAAAATACATAAAAAGTTATCAATAATTGTCAATATTTACGGATATATATCTGAGATTTAGTGTAATAGTGCTACAGAAAACAAATGAGACCCTATTTCACTTTTGTTTTGTGTTCTATAGGTTTTAGTGCATGTAAATGGTCTGCAAAGGCTAAAATCACAAAGTTCCAGAACATAGTGAGATCACTACAGAACACTTGCGCTCCTATTAGCTAGCGCTCCAACACATGATAGGCTAAGGGGGCGGGACATCTCTAAGCAGGTTGACCAATCACAACAGAGCCGGCCAGCTAACCAATCAGAGCAGACTGGGCTCTGGTTTCAGACAGAGGGTGTGTTATGGAAGATATATTCAGGGATAAAAGAAGACTCATTTCCAATAGAAACGTTCAAATTCAGCATTGTTCAGATGCAACGACTCTTCACAGTTTAAGTCAATTGTCTCAAGGATGAAGAAACAATGTGAATTTAGAAAACAGACATTCCCAGATACAGATCCGTCTGCTCGTTCCTGCAGGCGTCCTCTTCCCCTTTGTTGTTTAAACACAACATCACTTTTATACAGTGTGTGTGTTTATGAGATGAAAGTTAAAACAGGCTTTTGAAGAGGAGGAAGTCCTGAACTCTTCCTCCTTCTCACGGATCAATATCTGATTTCTGCAGACGACGCTCCGGCTGAGTTATTTCATTCTGCTCACAAATGGATGCAGGGAGTGAGTCGGCGCGAAACAAAATGAAATTAGAAGAAGAATTGTTCCTCGAATTTGCTCAAATAGTCCTCTGAGAAACTTTAAATCACACACACACACACACACACACACACACACACACACACACACACACACACACACACACACACACACACTCACACTCACACTCACACTCACACACACACACACACTCACACTCACACTCACACTCACACTCACACTCACACTCACTCACACACACACACACACAGTCTTTGTTTCTGCCTTGTGATTTACTCCCAGTACAGAAGTGTGTAACATGGAAACACCTTATCTCACACACACACACACCGCCTGTTTCAGAGCGACACGGCGTTTTTAAAGCCCTATCAGAGCGTTCTGCACCGCTGGACGCTTTAACAGAAACAAAGTGTTTCTCCAATAACCCGCAGATAGTCGGCTCTGTTACTGATAAAGCCATTTATTTATAATGCAGGGTTTTATTTAAAACGAGTCTGCAGTGAGTCGCAGCGCTGCAGGGGGGGGGGGGGGGGGGGGACGACAACTACCGGAGGAAATTAAAATCTAATGTGACGAGAAAGAAAATAGTTCCTGTTCTACTGCCATTTATCAATCTGGTGGCGTTACAGCGGTACAGAAATCATTCTCAAGCTGATGAAGAGAGGTGAGAATGTGCGGACTCGCCTTTCTAATCAATAACATACAGAAATCTCGAGAATGAAAAAAATCTATATATTTATATTAATATAAGAAATGTATCTTAAATAACAAAAATGAAATAAAACAAAGATATGTAATTTTAAAAAATCAAAATTAAATAAATATATTCACATGATCAAGAAAAAATTCCCCCAAAAAGATAAAATAAAATAGAATTAAACACAATCAATCATAAGAAAATTAAATGTATTGTTTATTTTACATTCTGACATTTTAAGAGTTAAACTAATTACTTAAATAACAATTAAAATAATGCTTATATCATACTGTATGTCGATGCAACTCGAGCAGAAATTCTGCATAATGACTTTTTTAATTTCTATTTAGTTCATTTTCTCCATACTTCCACTTGTTTTTATCACAAGTTTTCCGAGAGATATAAGTACTTTTTAAACAGAATATCTGTGTGTTAGTGCCGTGTGCAGAGCCGCAGGCGGTCAGAGGTGACGTCCTCCAACAGATAAGTGATGGGAAACAAATAGACTCGCCTCAAGGGATCAGAACGTATGAAATATTCATGATTTAAAGAAGAGAGCCGAGGACGGTCAATATGTATCTGCCGCTCGCCTCCCACACTCTAAAACCTTCCTGCTCTTTACAAAGTGTGTGTGCACATGTTTAACCCTTCACACACACAGGTCAGCTCTCTGGTGTGTGTCATGTGATGTCACAGATCACGTTCAATATTATGACATGTTCTGAAGGCGGAAAGATATCCAGACGGGCGGAGCTGCTTTTCTTTTGGGCAAGTTGTTTTCCCCCATTGCACTCTTTCCTTTTGGTTGTTTAATAAAACTTGGGCACCAAATGTTTTAGGAACTTACTGAGCCTTAAGTAAATGTCAATATATCGTATTTTTCATAGTTTATCTGCAATTGTATGACTTTGTGACACTTAAAAAGTCGCCTGCATGTTCTTAAAACGTATACATCCTGGCTCTGCAGGGCAAAAGTTAAATCAAATAAAATCTGCATTTAAATGATTTATGTTTTAACGTGCTTATTGGAGATGACTCGACACTTCTGGGTCTGTAAATGAACCAATCAATCCGTCAGATAAACACTTTGCTCTGAATTTAATCCTTTCTGGGCCGACAGGAGCGGATCTGACTAATTCCTGGATGTTTTTCTTGGACTGATCCCCCCTCAATGGATTGGGCTACACACACCGCTGCTTTCATTAGAGCGAAACACACACACACACACAGACACACACACACACAGACACACAGACACACAGACAGACAGACAGACAGACAGACAGACAGACAGAGAGACACACAGACAGACAGACAGACAGACAGACAGACAGACAGACAGACAGACAGACAGACAGACAGACAGACAGACAGACAGACAGACAGACAGACAGACAGACAGACACACACACACACAGTGACAGACAGACACACACACACACACACACACACACACACACACACACACACACACACACACACAGGTAAACAGATTACACAATTAAGTCATTAGTTAAATGGCCCATTTGGACGAAAGAGAGGAAGATGAGACTAAATGAGACATCAGCTCTAATTAACAGAGACTTTAAGTCACCTGGAGACAGGGGGGGGGGGGTCCATCTGCTCAATATGGCTGCTAGGAACCAGATGGACCCACATGTGGAGGACAGCTAATGGGCCAACAGTCGGTGTAAACACACACACACACACACACACACACACACACACACACACACACAGATGGAGAGACGGGGCAGCAGATGTTGAACTTTTGAAAACGCCTCCTCTTCTCCGCCCTTCGTCGTCCTCGTTTATTTTATTTATTTCCGTGTCATTAAAACTCCTCAGGATGACGGACAGCTCTCTCTCATTTTCTCACTTTCTCACTTTCACACTGAACGCTGATTTATTTCCTGACAGGCGTCGCACATCAAATACCGTTTAGGGTCAACGTTATTATTAGAGCTGTAGTTGCAAAGATACTGCTGAGTCATGCTTCGTCTCCAAATATAACTGGGTTGTACAATATATATAACATGACACAGCAGATATGTGTCCTGCATTTATGGATGTACTGTGGGAAAATATGTATATAATACTGATATAATAATATAGAATTGGCTCGTATGCTAACTAGATTTCTTTCAGTGATTGGTTGAAGGTAATAACATTATAGAAAATAGTCAACTTTTTCCAGATTTGGGAACTCAAAGGATCTAAATTGGGTATATTTGGACCACATATTTGTTTTAAATGACTTATTCCTGGATCATGTTGGTGCAAGACTTTAAAGGTATGGAGCGCTGAGACCCAGACATGCAGAGTAATGTTTGTTTTAAGCCAAACTGACTGCATGTTTCCCAGATGTGCAGTACCTCCTTTAACTTGTATCATGTTATCAAACCCTTACTTAACGTTATACTTGAATTCCTGAGACAATATCTCTTATATCGGGCTTTTCCAGCTGGAAAGTTAAAATCACCCGTTACCCTTTTCTTCAACACAAACACTCTCATGGCTTTCAATCAGACACACTTCACCAGGGGAA